GGAGGGATATAAAAGCTTCAAAGGTTTACCCTGAGAAGTATGGGTTCTCATCCCCAAGTTGGGCTCCCCAGCCAAGAGCACCAAAGCCAGGAAGAGGTACCCACATAACATCTGGCTGTGAAAATCAATGGGGATTGTGTCCACTAGGGTAAAACAGGAGCCTGCTAGAGAATGGGTGCCCTGTTAAAGGGCCATTGCACAAAATTTCATTTGCAGCCACTCACCCTGGGGTCCAGCGGAAGGAGGGTAGAGTGGATAAGAGTTGCATGAGGAGAGACTGAGGTTTGTGGCTCTGGGGAGAGAGCTAAAGAGACAGTTGCCAGGATCCCTGTGCTAAGTCACTCTCCCATACCATAGATGCCATCTTTCTTGGGTGGAGCACTCCCTTCCTTATGACATCAGCCTGGAGGGATGCAATAGCCTCACCTCTGGACTGCCTGTCACCTCACTCTGTGAAGCTTGTGCCCTGCTGAGGAATCAGCTGCCTGGGCTAGGATATAGAAGTTTGGGCAAACTCAGGGGATGTCAGTGACTGAGTTGTGTGTCTCTGGGGCAGCAGTCATTCCCCCTACTTTTCTGTAAACCTAGCACCTCGCCCTCATGGGAAATCAGCTACTCCCCCCCTTCTGACTCCTGGTTGCTCCACCCTGCCAAGGTCTGGACGGAATCTGGGACACACTAAACATGTGGTACTAGGGTGGGAGCCACTCCCCCAAACCTTACCAGCACCTCCCCCATGCAGGAGATCCACTAACTCCACCTTCCTGACTCCTAGAAGCCCTGCCCTGCTGAGATCAAGCTTCTGGCTGAATCTGGGACCTACTGAGTTGTGTGGCTCTAAGACAGGGACCATTTTCCCCTCACATGCCTGATCAGTGCAGAGCCCTCCCTTCCAAATCCTGACCTGTTTGGTCCCGATAAACTTTGCTGGCCTCACCCTGATGACCCCCTGAGACTCCACCCCAGCACAAAGGTATGCGAGCACCCAATGGGTGGCAGCTAGACTTGGAATATCTTGGAACATTTGTTGAGTAGCTTCAGACCCAGCACTGAACCTATATCAGTCTGGTGAATACCACGCACCCCTACCTGGTGACACACTGAGAACCTACCTCATGCAACTTGAGTACCACCAGAGGCTCTTTCAATGACTGAGCCTAATAGGCAGCCTTCAGGGGCAGGCAGATAGAGGTAGAGCTCAGGGTGCCTTAGGACTTTCATTGACCTGCCCCTGGGCCTAGTGCTCGTAAAAGCTGACCTTGGTGAGCATCTTGGTCCTTCCCACACACAACCAGGCCAAGTAGAGGCAGCCACAAACTGTGGATTGCTTTGTAGTTCCAAACAGGTTCCCCAGGACCAGTCACAGGCAGCATCTGACATTGGACTGCACCAGAGTCCCTCCCAAGAGTCCCCAGAACCAACACATCCAGTAGCCAGTTTCAGATAACATCAGAGCAGGGTTTAATTAGCTTCATGAGCAGCATGTCCAAAGAGAGATCTCAGCAGGCACCAGAACTTGCTGAGGCAAATTTTGCTTCATGTGGTCAACATCTGCACAACAGCTTATACACTGTGGTTGGAGTCAATCATGAGAGTCAGCCAGCCTGAATGTCAACATCAAGCACAAAGAGGCCAATAGCAATAAAGACTCAATTACAAATTGAGGGCCCACAATGTCACAAATGAGGCATTCCTGGAACACCGAGCTCAGGTGATCAAGGAGAGTTCGCTGTTGGGTCCACAGGATACCAACTACACAAGGCCACTCTACCAAGACTGGGAGTCATAGAAGATCTACCTAATACATAGAAACAAACACAAAGAGGCAGCCAAAATGTAGAGACAAAGAAACATGCCTCAAATGAAAGACTAGAAGAAATCTCCAGAAAAAGAGCTAAATGAGATGGAGGGAAGCAATATATCAGATATAGAGTTCAAAAAACTGGTTATAAGGATGCTCAAGAAACTTAGTGAAAACTATAACAGTGAAAAAGGACACAGAAACCATAAAAAAGAACCAGTCAGAAATGAAGAATACAATATTTGAAATGAAGTCTACACTAGAAGGAATAAATAGTAGGTTGGATGAAGCAGAGGACTGAATCAGTGATTTGGAAGACAAGGTAGTAGAAAACACCCAATTAGAGCATTAAAAAAAACACAACAAAAAAACCAAGCAAACAAACAAAAAAACACCTAGGAATAAATTTAACCAATGATGTAAAAGGCCTGTAATTGGAAAATTATAAGACACTGAGGAAAGAAACTGAAAAAGACACAAATATACCATGTTCATGGATAGGAAGAATTAACATCATTAAAATGTCCATACTACCCAAAGCAATCTCTAAATTCAATGCATTTCCTGTCAAGATACCAATGGCATTTTTCACAGAATTAGAACAAATATTCCAGAAACTTATATGGAACCACAAAAGACCCCAAATAGCCACAACAATCTTGAGAAACAAGGACAAAGTTAGAGGAATCATGCTACCTGATATCAAACTATACTACAAGGCCATAGAAATCAAAATAGCATGGTATTGGCATAAAAACTGACATATAGATCAATGGAACAGAATAGAGAGCACAGAAATAAACCCACACCTTTATGGTCCATTAATATTTGACAAAGGAGTCCAAACTGTACAATCGGATACAGATAATCTATTCAGTAAATGACGTTGGGAAAGTTGGACAAATACATTTTTAAATAATGAAACTAGACCATCTTCTTACACCATACACAGAATAAACTCAAAATGGGTTAAAGACTTTAATGTTAGACTCAAAACCATAAAAATCCTAGAAGAAAACATAGACAGTAAAATCTCAGACAGTCTTCATAGCAATATTTTTTCTGATATATCTCCTTGGGCAAGGGAAACAAAAGTAAAAATAAACAAATAGGACTACATCAAACTAAAAAGTTTTTGCACAGCAAAGGAAATCATCAACAAAATGAAAAGACAACCCACTGAATGGGAGAACATATTTGTCAATTATACATCTGATAAAGGGTTAATATCCAAAATTTATAAAGAATTTATAAAACTCAACACCAAAAAAAATTTTTTTTTAAATGGGCAAAGGACCTGAATAGACATTTCTCCAAAGAGGACATACAGATGGCCAATAGACATATTAAAAGATGCTCAACCTCACTAATCATTGGAGAAATGTAAATTAAAACCACAATGAGCTATCACTTTACACCTGTCAGAATATCATCAATAAATCAGCAAACAACAAGTGCCGGCAAGGATGTGGAAAAAAGGAACCTTAGTGCACTGTTGGTAGGAATGCAGATTGGTGCAGCTGTTATGGAAAGCAGTATGAAGTTTCCTAAAAAAAATTTAAATGGAATTGCCTTATGACCCAGCAATTCCACTTCTGGGAATATATCCAAAGAAACCTGAAACACTAATTCAAAATAATAAGTGCACCCCTATGTTCATTGCAGCGTTACTTACAATAGTAAGATTTGGAAGTAGCCCAAGTACCCATCAGTAGGTGAGTGGATAAAAAAACTGTGATACATTTACATAGTGGAATCCTACACAGCTGTAAAAAAGAAGAAAATCTTACTGTTTTCAACAGCATGGATGGACCTGGAGAGCATTATGCTAAGTGAAATAAGCCAGTCAGAGGAAGACAAGTACCATGTAATTTTACCTGTATGTGGAATCTAATGAACAAAATAAACTAACAAACAAAATAGAAACAGACTCATAGATACAAAGAACAAACTGATAGCTGTCAGAGGGGACAGGGGTTGGGAGCTGGGTGAAGAAGGTGAAGGGATTAAGCAAGACAAACAAACGAATGAACTCATAGACACAGACAATAGTATGGTGATTTCCAGAGGGAAAGGGGGATAGGAGGAGGTGGAAAAGAGTGATTGAAGGAGACCACTTGAGATGGTGAACACACAATACAATATCCAGATGATGTATTATAGAATTGTACACCTGAAACCTACATACTTTTATTAACCAATGTCACTTCAACAAATTCAATTACAAAGAGATAGATAAATAAATAAATAAATAAATGCAAAAAAAGAGAGACTAAGTTCATTTAGATAAATCATATCAGATATTCCATGAGGATGTGTTCTGTGGGTTTTGGTAAGAAGAGTAAAGTCTGGAGAATAGTTAAATAAATTGTGATGTATACACACACTAGAATACTTCAGAACAGCAGTAAAAACAAACAAACAAAAACTGGATACCCATATATACAACATAGGTAAACAAAAAGAATATACTTGATGTTGAGTGAAAGAAGCCAGATACAAAAAATACTATAGGAGTCAATTTATATGAAGGCCCAGAAATGTCAGACTAACTGATTGTGATAGAAGCCAGAAGAGCAGTGACTCTGGGAGTTTAGAGTATGGGACGAGAAGGGACATAAGAAAAGTTACAGGATGTGAAAATGTTCAGTACCTTGAAACATGTCTTGGGGTTTAAACATATATAAGGACCCAATCAGTTCTTGACCTAAAATCTGTGTATAATACCTGCTTTCTTATATAAGATATGTATTTTATACCCGAAGTGAAAATATATTCTATGGACCCCCATGTTACAATTTAGAATAGTGGCTAAGCATAGGCTCTGAAGGTAGGTAATATCAGTCTGCCACTAACTAGATACTTGACTTTTGATAACAGACTTAACCTCTCTAAGGCTCAGTTTTCTTATTTCTGAAATGGAGATATACAGTAAACCTACCTTATAGAGTTCTGGGGATAATTTAATATGATAACGTTTATGAGGCACAGAACACAGAATAAATGTTCAAGAACAGCCAGTCAGCACTTATAGTAGAGTCCATAATGAGACACCCCTTCTCCCCATGCATACACACCAATTTCTGGGAAATTCTTCCCCTGAATAGCTCTCATACCTCATGTGGTCCTCGACGGAGGGGTAAGGACCATGTGCTAACTGTCCCAGTTCCCCTGCCCCCCAAGAGGTTCCCCTGCATACCACCAAGGCATCTGGGAGGTTGTGCTCCTCTGTGAAGGTGATGACTGCAGGGATGATGTCCAGTGCACTGAGCTCCAGTGTAGCCGTGCTGATGGAATCTGAGTCCTGGGCCCAGCCCACCTGGAAGAACACAGCCACTTTCCTCACAAGAAGTCCCGAGCGCACACGTTTGAATACGTGTCTCGCCACAAACCTCATGGTGGCCCCAAGGTTCCTGCTGCCAGATGATCTTTTCAGAGGGATTTTCCTGACTGCCTGAAGGAGTGCAGGCTTCCACTTGTAGTCTGAGAAGCGAGTCAGGTAATCTATTTTGTTGTTGTAAGAAATGATGGCCACTCGGGCACCCGTTGGACAGTTACTCTCACTTATTTCCATCTTCATCAACAGAGACAATAAAATGTCTCTCATCCTCTCAAAATCCAACTCAGAGACGTCGTTTGACATGTCCAAGGCAAAGACCACTTCAGTGGGGAACACTGGGCATTTGGAAACACCTTGACACATGGATACACAGATTTAAGATTCTCTGCAATGCCTCTAACAAGTGAAGATTTGAATGAAAAAGAAGAAATATTATTTACCTGTTGAACACGCTGGAAGGGAAATTATTTTGGAGAGAAAAGAGGACATTGTTAGTTTACATAAGTAGTAGTGTGTTTTCCATGTGAGTGCTTCAGAATGAGTTTCCCTCTGGGAAATTCAGCAATGGCCTTCTCCAGTCTCTGAATCCTCCCTTCATGTCTTTTGCCCATCTTCATTCTAAAAGAGTTTTTTACATTTATGTTTAGCAAATATGAAATATCTGTATTTGTCTGAATCATTTGATGAAAATTATTGAGTAGCAGCAATTTTATATATTTTGACACGATCAAGTAATGACATTGGGTCCTTTGCTTGGACCTCTTGCTTATATTACATATATTTTTGTTCTATTTTTTTGTTTGCTTTCCAATGTAAAGAGGTTTTCACTTTTTATATGGCCAACTCTGATATTTTTTTACTTTATGGCCAAGATGATGATGATATTCTTTATGATTTCTAGGAAATAGGATTCCGTAATCTCCCTGAGCAACAACTGGATAGGAATGAATAGAATATGGAAGAGTTAGAGGGATGGGATGATTGTGAAGAAAACCAAGCTCCCAAAGTATGCAATTTGCCAGGTCAGTGTTCTCTCCCTATTGCAAGTAAGTGGAGAAATGTATTAATTATAGGATGCAAATATCCTGGAATACATTGAAGATAGTAAATAAATTATAATCTGAGAATGAAATAATTTAAGATTTGATGACTCATAATTCCATTTTTAAAACATAAATGTAAATAAAATAGGACACATCTCTTATTGAAAGCTCACCATCGATCCCTCCTGTTTAAATGGATGAGATTAAAAGAACAAAGCTTCCCTTTGCCTGTTTCGTGATAAGAGGCACCAGGACACAGACATGCAGGAGAGCGAGGATCACTGCATTTCATGGGGTGCGATGCTGTACAGTGGAATTTTTTTCCACCATTGAGATGACGTGCCTTTCGTGCTTTTCATTTCTAAGAGGAAGATTACTTACCCAAGGGGGGACTGGGCTAAATATATTCATTTACAGGAGCCTTTCATGATGGACAATGGCACCTCCCAAACCTCAGTCAAATCCACAGTGACTTATGTCCCCAGTCCATGATCCATCCCCATTTCACACCACTTGCTCTTTTCGAGCCTCTTTCAAACAACTTACGGCAGTTTTTTCGTGTGAAATCGATGATTTGACAAGGCTGTTAGAAAGATGGAGAAAGAGAGAGAAAAGGAAAAAGAATTTAATTGGAAATATATTCCTCCTCACCCTGGTGACTTAGAAATGTCATATGGATATTATCAGTGCCTGTCTGAAGCTTTTTACACTGCCACAAAAAAACCCAAAAATTGTTATAGCAAATAAACCATCCAGCAGTTATATTTCTGGATCCAGTGGATATTTTAAAGTATTTAAAATATTTTACATACAATATAGTGCCCATATTATTAGAGATAAGTAGCTAAGGGAAATTCTTTTTTCTTTTTTTTATCTACCTCACAAAGCAAAGGAATCAAATATGATTTTGAAGAATTAAATCCAGGAATGTTGGCACAGAAGGCAGAGAAATGCCTTAAATTTTTGGATCTCTCTATTAGCAATTCCTGCTACACCTCTTCAGTCATTTAGAATGACTGCCAAGGCAGGTACTCTGAACACCTCCCTTAGAATTCTGCTTCGTTCCGTTGACCCTTTCCTCTCTGTTTGGTTCTTCCTTCAACCCCATCACTTCTTGCTCCTCAGTTGTCCCCTCTTCCTTTTTCCATCCCCACAGTAGTATGTTTGTACTTAGAAAATAAAAATAAAAAAACATCATAACTTTTGAGGTTGTTTTCAGGTGTTCCATGAGACACAAAGGCCAGGACTGTGCTGTGTGTTGGCTTATAAATACTTTATAAGTAATTTTTGAACTTCATAAAAAAGCATATTGCATAGGAGAGTAGCCTCAGTCTTTCCTTTCATCTCAACTAGTATTACTCAAAAACACCCGATTCCCTCCAGGAATATTATTTCACTCTTTTTATTTGATTTGGTTGTAACATTTCAAAGTCTGTAAATTTAAAGTACTAACAGAATTCGTAAGAGGCAAAACTAAAGAATCTTTATAGATTTCTGTTTTGTCACAGTGGAAAGTTTTGTGTTCTGAAAAGAATAAAGTTAAGAATTAAAATCTTCCCCTACCATAATATCTGCCAAGCCTTTGGGGCCCTTGATGCCCTGGAAAGAACAGAAACAGCTTTAAAATGCAAAATTTTGAGGTCCAATACATTTTATCCTGAGTTGCCAACAGGTTCTGATAAAGTTCACCACAGTTCATGGACCACCTTCTGCCCTTTGCTCCTAGCCCTGGAATTCTGTCTGACCCCTTAAAGAAGGAAGTCAGAGTGACTAGGTGTGTTCCAGACTTTGGAGTCCAGGATGCCCAGGTACATGGTACATAACTTTTAGAAGATCAAGTCATTTTGAGACAAAGCCACAGTTTATGGTAAAATTCAGGAAAAGGCCAGTCAAGATCTCAGGGCCATTCGTAGGCAGTTCTAAAGTAGAACCCAGTCTTCCCCTACCCTTTCTCCTCCAGCCACCCACCACCACCCTATCTCTGCCTGAGACTGAACAAATCTTCCCTGGATCCTTCAGATAGGGTTGCCTTATTTAGACTCTACAAGGTAGTGATCTGCGACCTTGGACAGGTCACTATAATCTTCTCAGCCTTTGTTATCTCATCTGTAAAATGGGCATGGATGGTCCTTGTATTTCTAAGATTTTTGATTCTATAACTTCGTTGTACTTCTGCAGTAAGCCCTATGCTGCAGTGAAACCACCAGGTTCAACCCACAGGTGCCATCCTTCATGGAACGACAGCTTAGCCTCCTAGGATGAGCCATGGGGCAAAATGACAATAGCCCCAAGTCTTTCCTTTCATATCAAATGACCTTCCAGGGGGTTTAAAAAATATTTGTGGGCTTGCAACATTGTCAGTTCAGTTAAGATTATATAAATGTCCTATTATATTAGGATTTCCCTCTAGTGTTGGCATAAATGTTGTCCATCTTGTTTACATTGATAAACTCTCTCTCCAGTGAGTATTATGTATTGTTTTACATATTTTGACAGGTTCACACATCTCCAGCCATTCCAATATCTTCCCCATCTTCAAGTAAAACATTTATACTGAATAAATATACTCTGTAAGGACTCAAAGCAAATGTGAAGCAAATGTAAAGCAAATTTGGCCCATTCACTAATAGATCCTCATGTGTCCTGAATGTTCATTTCTTCTTAAAGATGCTTCTTATCAAGTCCTTATTCATTTTTACACAAAGGTTGAAAATAAGAGAAAGGAGAAGAGTTCATGTTACCCGTGGTCCTGGAGGGCCTTGGTCACCTGGAGTTCCAACAAATCCTGGAAAGCCAGCATTACCCTAGAAATGACCAACCAAAGGAATAAGCTTTCCCCCTTGCATATGACTTGATTAAAGCCATTACTCTGAGGTATTCAAGTTATCATTATTATCTAAGGTACAGTGAGTCTGCTATAAACCAGTTATTTTATGAACTGTGACCACTGGACTAGAGACTAGAAAGAGAAGGGAGGTCTCTTTATGGGAACCATCTAAAAATCCTACCACATACCTAATTCCAGCCAACACGTAAACACGCACACAAACACATACTTCTAAACAGCCTTAAGGGATGTCTGTCATATGCAGATGAGCCTCCAGGTCATATAATTAAAAGAGTAAATAAAGTATGCATTGAGGGCCTGGCATCAAGAGAAAGAAAAGGCTCCTCCATCACCTTCTGATCTTCAGTGTATGAGAAAAGATATACATGCTAGCCATGGATTCACTGCTCAACTTACAGGTATTTGAACTGACACAGCATTATCAGCATGTAATTTAATGTTTTATCTTTTCTTTTTTCAATTTAAAACCAGAGAGATAAGTTTAGGTGAGCAGGGAAATATTAGCCAGCAGCAAGCCAAGTTAGGCATAGATCAAATTTTTCTTTATGTCCTTGCCAGTATATGAAAATACCAATTATTGAGTACCTAGAAAGTATATATTCTCTTTCCTTTCCTCTTTTCTTCACTGAACACTGGTCCATGTCCTTTTCCCAGAAGACCTTGCTCTCTAAGGTCTATCAGCTAAATGCTACCAAGGTTTTAGATATCCACAGGCCTTCCAAAAAGAGCTGCTAGTGACCATGGCTCTTCAAGATTGAATCTTCAGAACCTGAAGTAGATTTTTCATGGTAGACTCTATAAAGTACAGTGAAAATATGACTCAATGTCCACCAGGATGGCAGCCACATTCTTGAGAGTGTAGTGCTTAAAAAGCTAAGAGAAAGGTAAGGCTTGGAAGGATCTCAAAGAAACAGCAAAGTTTGCTCTGCAGCTAAAGCAATACCCTTCCAAATGATACCCATGCTTACCAAATACAGAGATGTCTCCAAACCTATTTTTTAAAAGGTTAATGTTGCATAACTGAAATTCTAACTTGGATTTTCTGTTGTTATGGTTTGAGCATGCGTTTGCACTCAGAAGGTAGATAAGAGTGGCATTAAGTGGGAAGTGAGGTAGCCCAAGGAAGGCGTGGAATGTGCCTGCCTGGGAAGGACAAGAGCTTCCTGCAAAAAAGTCCATTAACCCAATGGAAATGCGCTCCGATGAGTAGAATGTCCTGAAGTAGGGTGGGCCTTTATAGATCTCAGGAAATTCCTCTGATTCTTACCCTCTTCCCTCTGATTCCTTTTGCCCCCTTCTCTCCTCGGTGGCCCAGGTCACCATCTTCTCCCTTAATAGAATCGAAAGCAAAATCTTGGGTATAAAGAAAAATAAGTACAAACAAATGACACATGCTGCATACCAGTTCCCATGCCCTGAAAGATATCTTCTTACTTGTGTGCCAGGATAGCCAGGAAATCCAGATTCACCCTAGTGTCAGAAAGGAGATAAGGCCTTGTTTAAAGTCACGCAATTAAGTTTTTCTTTGGCATTCCCCAGGGGAAAGGAAGAAATTATAACTTTGAGGGGAAAAGACTCAAAACAGGTGCCAAAATAAACAACTATTTCAAAAGCTATCTTGAGCTACTCCGAAGTGGCCATATTTTATTTCTATAATTTATCATGAAACAACTTACAGGTGATTTTTACAGATTCCTCACCCTCCTTGATATATTATAATAAAACTGCCTTCTTAAGCATCTTGACCTATCAGTTTAAAATAACCAGAGGTCTGATCCAATGAATACCAAGGGAAGGGGCACCAAATTGACTGTTGGGAAGCAGGTCCTCATTGTCAGATCAAAGGCACATTACAAAGCAATTACTCATTCAACAAGTATTTATTTAGCACTTACTATGTGCCAGACACTTCTCTAAGCCCTTGGAATTCAGCAGTGAACAGAACAAAGACCGCTGCTATCATGGAACTTACCTGCTAGTGAGGAAGAGATATATAATACATCAGGAAGACGTAAATGCTATTCCAGAAAGGGGATTAAGGGATGAGGAATGACATGGGTGAATGGGGGGACGGAGTAACTATTTTATATATATAAGGTGGTCAGACAAAGCCTTTTGGTAATGGTGGCATTCGGACAAAGACCAGCATGAATTAAGGAAGCAAGCCAAGCAGATATCTGGCAGAAGCACATTTCAGGCAGAGGGAAGAGAAAGTAAAAAGTCCTGAGGCAAGAGTATGGATGTGTGTCACACTTGAGGAACACTGAAGCAGGATGGGGTTGGGATGGGAGGAACAGTAGGAGATGAAGTCAGAGGGTTCACAGAGTCTTGTAGGCCATGTGAACGGTGAGGTTAATTCTGAATGATATCAGGAGCCATAGCTGGGCTTCAAGTAAAGGAGTGACATGATGTAACTATGTGTTTAAAAGAAGGCGCTGGTTGCTGCATGAAGAACTAACTAGGTGGGGTAAGGATGGAAGCAGAGAGACCAGTTAGGAGGCTACTGCAGTAATCAAAGTGGAAAACCATGTCGGCCTGGCCCAGAGGGTGGCAGGGGTTGTGGTAAGAAGTGATGAAATGCTGGAGATATTTTGAAGGTGCACTCACCATTATTTGTTGATGGGTTAAATGTAGGGGTTTAGAGAAAGAAACTGATTAAAGATGGTGCAAATGTCTGTCTTGAGCAACTGGCAGAACAGAGTCTCGCCTTCCGAGACAGGGAAGGCCAGAGGAGGAGCACGTTGTCAGCAGAATCACTTTTGTCTCCCTGGATGTTTGATGATATTAAAGGATTGTTGTTGATTCTTAGGTGTGATCATGGTATTGTGGTTATATTTTTAAAGAATATTTTAGAGACGCAATTTGAAATATTTATGCAGTATAATTAATACATGACGTATGATATCTGGGATTTACTTCAAAAAATGGTGGGTAGGTAAGTGGGTAGGAGTAGAAATTAAACAACAAAATTGGTCAAAGGTTTTGCATTGTTTGAGCTAAGTGATGGATCCATGGGAAGAGATATTACTATATGTCTTTTCATTTGTATGTATGTGTTAATTTCTCCACAATAAAAAGTTCACAGACAAAAGAAGAAAAATGTTGTTTTGGAATGTGCCGATTTTAAGGTGCCTATTAGATAAACAAATGGAAATATTTGGAGTTTAAGAAATTCGTCCAAGCTGGAGGAATAAACTGGAGATCACAGGATAGATAGTACTTGATGCCATGGAGCTGGATAAGGTCACCTAAGGAGCGAGTGAAGAGGGAGAAAAATATGAGGGTAGAGCCCCGAGTCTCTCAATATTTAGAAGTCAAGAACATGGGTATAGAACTACTCCTTCAAAGCATTGCCAGAGAGAAGTGGGGCAATGAAAGTATGTACTTAAGTGAGGGTTTTGCTTTTGGTTTGGGGGTTTCTTAAATAAGAGATATTCCCACCTCTTTTTGTACTGGAAATGATCTATAGAGAAGGAAGGGTATGGAACAGGTCACTCAAAGAAGAGGAGAGTGAACAGACCAAAAAAAATGTAGTCTGCTGGCCAAGCAGCAGTAAGGGCCAGTTAAAGTGAGACCATGATGTCTTGCCAAGAAAAATCCATGCAAATGTGGAATGAATCCATGTGTTCCACAATGTTATGTGTATCACAATCAGCATAGAGTGCCCTTGTGGTTAGCTCAGGGCTGGTCTGTGGCTCAAAATATGCACATTTGAATTCTACCCAGAATTCCCTGCTATTCAAACTCTTCCCTAGACAAGAAAGACTTAATTTGCCAGGATGGGATTACAATGAACTAGTTTCCACACTCAGCTCTGTCTCTAACTAGCTATGTGACCACAGGCAAGTTACTGTACTTCTCTGAGTTTCCATTTTCTTAGTTGTAAATTACCAAGGCTAAACTGGATGGCCACTGAGGTCCCACATTGTCATCATTCCACAGATATTTACTAAGGGATTGCTATGTTTGGGGTATTTTCCTGCTCAATAAAATGACAGTGGTGCTATCTAGCAGCCTCAGGGAAACAAGAGAATTGCAGAGAAGCCAGCCCCAAGTACTGACATTGTTAAGTAGCTGAGCATAGCTAAACATCCCAGTGATTTATTTCATGAAGCAATAAATGTGACTTGCAAGCTAAGGCATCAGGCACCAACCACAGCTATTGACATTTGATTTGCTCGTCAAGATTCATGTGGCTTCCATCCTTCAAAATCTTTGTCAGTAACCCATTAACTACATGTTAAAATACCAGCTTCTTATAGGAGTGGAAATATTTAAATATACTTATTGAGCACCTACTCTGTGCCAGGCTCTGTTCCAGCAACACAAAAATGAGTAAAGAGCAGTTCTGCTACCAAGTTCACAAACTGGGAGGCAGACAAATATGCAAGGATAAATTATAATATAACCTCAATGGAAAGGGACTACTGTAGAAATATGAACAATGTGTTTTAGGAACACAGAACATAGGACAACAAATTCTGTCTTCCACAAGAAGTTGAGTTGGTGTTAGAAAATGAATAAAAATTGTCCAAAGGAGGGAGATGGGGAAGGACATCCCAAATAGAGGCGAGAGTGTTTGCAAAGGCAAGGAGTAGAGAAAGAACCTGGCATGCCCAGAGCTGGGGTAGGGATATCTGGTGTAGATAGAAGAAGAGGTAAGGAGTTTGATTTTTAAATAAGGGAGTGACAAATTCAGCTTTTATTTTTTAAGGAGGGAACTCTGGCAGCTACAACATGTCATGAACAGCATGCAAAAACCATTCCTGGCATGCCACTTGAGTAATAACTTTCACCCTAGTAAAACAAAGTCAAAACTGTAGTCTTCAGTTCAAAATACTCTATAAGGTAACTCTCACCTTTGTTCCTTTTCTTCCCGGACGTCCATATCCATCAGGACCAAACATACCCTAAGAAAAGGACACAAGATGAATTGTAGAGTCATCCAGATGAGCACTTGGTTGCTAATATTATCTGAACCCTTGGAAAAATCAGCAGTGGCAGGAGGTGGGGAAGACAAAAGGGGAGGTTTATCCCAGCTTCATAAGATATACACTAGACAGCCTTCAACAGATAAGGAGGGAATAGTGTTTAAAGTTTTTAAAGATAATTATATAAATAAGTGTTTTGTATTCTTGCTCATTTTTAACCGCTTCTTCAGCAAGATTCTGTACCTCAGCAAGACGATACCATGGGTGTAGGAAGCCCAATCACTGTACAAAGTTCTCCTTTAGCAAACCTGCTTTCCTTGCTGGATAAGTAAACAGTGGAAGGAGTTCCACAATTGGTAAATCTCTAGGGATAAAGACAGACTTTGGAGGGAAAGATTGGGATGGAGGTGATGTAGTTTAGTGAATAAGTTTATAGGCGGTAAAGCCAAACAGACCTGAAGTTTCAACACTGGTCGTAGGAGTGACCTTAGGCAAGTTACTCAGCCTCTCTGAGCTTCAGTTTTCTCATCTGTTAAATGGGGATAGTAATATCGTTGATCTATGGTTGGAAGATTAAATGAGACTGTGCATGGGAAGTCCTTAGCAAGATGCCGGGCGCAGAGAAAGTACTTGATAAGTGGTCATTATTCTGCTGCTGATGGTGGCAGGAATAGTGATGATGCTGGCCAGGGGGTAGTAATGGTTGTGATGGTTATGATGGTGGCAGTGATATTGGTCGTGATAATGGTGCTGGTGGTAGTGAAGGTAGAGGCGGCGGAAGCAGAGGTGGTGCTGATGACAATAATTATGAAAATGTTAATGATAGTACTGGGATCTTAGCATCTGTACATAGACCCATGAGCTTCCTGTAATAAAGAGTGAATTCAGAACCTTTTGGGTGCTTTGTGCTGAATGGACAAAGACTGGACCTAAATCAAGTACATTAACTGAGGATAAATTTTTTTAATTCTAAGCCATTCTTATGGCTAAGGAGGAAAGTTTGAAATATTAGAAAATAAGATAAAGAAGATTGCCGAAGTGAATTATTTGAGGGGGAAGAATGCAAATGAAGTCCATTTGCAGTTACTCCAGCTTCTCTCTGCTGAAGGACATGTGCCTTCAGCATCTACAACCCCAGAGACTCAAACTGTGTATTTTGGGGATGTCCAGCACCCTCCAACATCCCTGAAATGACCCTTTCAAGAAAGGCATTGCTCCCCAGCTTTGTCTGTCCAAAAGAGGTCAATAGGAACAAGCTTTTCAGTATCTTAAATCAGGATATTTTAATAATGTCAAACCGTGCTTTAACTCCATCATCTGAACTGAGTGTAGATGCAAAATAATAATAATAAATAAAATTACATTTCATTTGATAGTAATCTTGTTCTGCTTTTCCCTGGCCATAGTTTAGTTTAAGCTTCTTAGACCTGTTTTTATTTTCTCTCCTTGCTAACAAATGTAATTTCAGTGCTGAGTGTAAAGCAGATGCAGGTCCTTCCTACTGCTGATGAGAGAAATCTCAGAAATCTGAGTTTCAGGAAAGACAACATTACTCTGTTATCATAAAGTTCATTCCAATAAGGTGTTGAATTTAAAGTAGTCACAAAATAATTACTTGCTCTTACGTTCAAAGCAATGACTAAGGTAAAAATGCATAGCCCTGTCTTTGAAAGTGTTATCCGTTGAAGCAAATCTTTTATGATTTTTGGTCTTCAAAGATTATTTCTATGCTCTAGATAATCACATTCATGCCCTTAAAAGTTTGCACCTTTCCATGGATGCATGGAACAGAAAAACAGATCTCAGTGGGGAGGGAAGTGGAGGGAATGGGAAGAGATTAACCAAAGATCATATATGCATAACGCATAGACACAGACAACAGTGTGGGGATGGCCTGGGGTGGGGCAGGAGTTAGGTGGAAGGGGAGGATAGGGGGGAAATGGGGGACATCTGTAACACAACAATAAAAAGTCATTTTTAAGAAGTTTGCACCTGCCCGGCCGGGCGTGACTCGGAGGTTGAGTGTCCACCTAGGATCCAGGTAATCGGGGTTCAATTCCTGGACAGTGCACATGTTGGTTGTGGGCTCGATCCCCAGTTGGGTGCATGCAGGAGGCAGCCAATCAATGACTCTCTCATCATTGATGTTCTCCTCTCTCTCTCTCCCTCCCCTTTCCTCTCTCTGAAATCAAGGAAGATACTTTTTTTTAAAAAGAAGAAGTTTGCACCTCTGATTGGCTGTCTTATTTCCCTGAAAAAATGTTTTATTGAGCATCTCTACTCCTAAAAGGCTCAAATGCTTGTAAACACCTTTGTCAACCGTAAGAGGCTAACTAGCACTCTCCTCTTCAATAACACGTGAAAAGACAAAATAAACGCAGAGACACCTTTGTATTCTTTATTTATATGGGGAGTTTAAAGATCTTTGACTCTCTAGATTCACAGCAGCCCTAGTGATTATGTCATATTTGTTACCCCGAATATTCATGATGAAAATTAGAATTTTATGTGAGATAAGAACAAATAATAAACAAGAAATTCCATCAGGAGTTCAAAACAGAGAAACCAGACTTACAGGTTGCCCTCTTGGTCCTTGTTGACCCCGTGGGCCTCTTTCCCCTGCAACACCATGCTCTCCCTTTTATAATGAAAGATAAAGATGAAATTAATTTTATCCTATGAGTTCATACAATTTTATATCATTTTTCTTAGAAATTTTACAGTCACACTTTTCAAGTCCCATTGACATCATCCTACAGCCTAAGATAAATATCTTCCTCTAGACTTTGGTTAAATATAAAGAACTAAAAATATATTTAAATTTTTGGTATTGAAAATTAGCAAAACTGGGTATGCAGCACCAGTTACAGAATTTTATATTGCTAGGGCTTTTTCTAGGTGTGAGTGTGTGAATCTGCATTTATGATGAAGGCATATGTTTATCTATCAGTATGTCTTTGTCTACTGATACATGATGCCACCTATTCATCTTTCTATATGTCTGTCTATATGTCTTTCCTTCTCTGCACCCATCTATCCAGCTCTAAGGTAATGGACAGTCACTATCATCACCAACCACATCAGAAACTAATGCTGGAAATGATGCCATAAGGAGAGATTCATATAGGAAAACCCAAGTTGCAATCAAGGAAGAGCATATTCTCTGACATTTACCTTCATTCCTCTTGGCCCAGCTTTTCCTTTTGAACCATTTGGCCCTGGAGGCCCAGGATTGCCCTGCAACAAGACCACGACCAAAATCACCTAAAGGGCCACAGCGTTAACTATCTGACTCTTGTTATTATTGATATGGCCTGGAACTGGTAATATGCTCATGAATTACCTTTAATACAATTAATTTTATCCTGCAACATAGAAAATAACATAATATACACATTTAACTTCTGGGCTGGGGGTTGGGTGGGAGAGTAAAGTGTTCTGTGCAAGAGGCCACATCTACCACATACCAAGACTTGAAGGGATTATCTGGCTTCTAGAGGGGAAAACACCATTTGATTAAGAGGTTGGGAAGATAAATGCCTGGACTTTTACCCTTCCCAAATGGAAAATATTATCAAACAAGAATGAAAGTAACACAATCAGTTATGGGGCTAGAATTTTCCCAACCAAGAAAGAATGAGGACAGGACTAGGGCTTGGGCCCTCTGAAGCTGCTATTTAAAATCTCCAGATACTCTTATCCCCGACTTAAGTCATGCTGCTCAGGTTTAAGGTATTCAAATACTCCCTTCCTTAGGAAGCCGCTCCAATCATCTGCCTCAATCTGGTCTGAACCTTCTGCGGACCCCCGGGATATTGGATGGGTTGTGGAACAGGCACTAGAAAGACCCAAGTTAGAGGCCAGTTCAGCCTCTTACTACCAGATGACTAGTAATTTAATCCCTTTGAGCCTCAGTTTCCTCTTCTAGAAAACTGGAATAGTAATGTTCTTTACATGTTTGTGAGGAGTAAATTAACCACTTATTCCCCTTTATACTATGTTTTCTTGCACCATAGGTAAGTAGGAATTTATGTTACACACCCCTGAGGCTCAAACCCAATCTCATTGATCCCACAATATACTTAGAATAGAAAGGGGCACATACCTGATGATCAATGGCCCCTACATCAAATTAGCTATTTCTAGAAATCCCTGATACCCACAGATCCCAGAACAAACAGTGTGGCTTTATGTTATCTGCCCAGGAACACTCAGGTGTATGAACTGGCCATTGTTAATGAGCAGCTGTGTCGCAACGTTTAGTTTTCTAAACCTACCTGAGCACCCATTGAGCCCTTTTGTCCAAAAATTCCTGGTGGTCCTTGCCTTCCTCTTAGTCCCTGGTCCAAAGATAAATTAAAATTCAAGCAATTTTTACAGAGCTACATAATTTTTCCCCATGTAACCATAAAATCATCTTGGATGCTGAAGGAAGTACAGATTAAGGTGTCCTGACCCATCACTATCTCATTTATTACACTTTAATCAAGGAGCACCTGCACCCTGGAGCACCCCCTGTACTCTCACTCCAAACTCATTCCATCTGAAGCACAGGATGTGAGTCCTCAGCATCTATATTTTTAACCATCTCTCCAGTTGAAGCTGATGAGTACTAAAGTTTGAGAACATCGCTTTTATATTTCAATTCACCCAACTAATTTTAAATCTTAAAAGGGAATGAGAGAAGCTGTAAGGATAGTGATTGCCTTTGAAAAATGAACCTTCTCCTTATATATACAAGGGTTAAACAAGAAATTACGTTCTGACTTTATCAAGAACCAAAAATACACTTACGTGACCTAATCTCACCGGGCACATTGCTGGGGAGTTGCTTGTTTTCTCCCCAATCTATCTTACTTTCCTGATTTCTGACACTTTAATTTTTTCCAGCTTTTCTGAGAAATGCTTTCCTATTGGAAGCATTGATCATGGCTTCTATGCTCCTGCGTGAGGTATTGAATCGCCTCTGTGGGTATTGAATCATACCCACGTGCCAGTGGGAAGTGAGAATGAAGCAGAGGCTTTATTGATTACCTTGCTCCTGACTCACCACAGGCCCCGCTCCCCTTGCACTCAGCAGTAGAATAAAGGAGGAAGCCAGGAAACAGCAATAGCAGGAGGTCCAAATTTGAATTAAGCCAGTGATCAAAAGGAAAGGTGAAAATGCATCTCTGCATTGTTTCCCCCTGAGTTCAGACACTATTTTCTATCATAAGGTAAATATAATCCGTAATTACACGTTGATTATCCACTTCTTTCTTTAGCATCTTTGTCAAGTGGAAAAACAGCAGAGACCTTCTCAAATTATCTTCTGACACTCAGAGGATCTTTGAAGTTAAGGATAGTGATTCCATGTGTTAGCAAAATCTGTTGTGTTAAAGCTCTTCCACTTGAGAATACTTTGAAACAACTCGACTTTTCAAAGAAAGATGCAGAGGGTCTTCCAGGAGTGTTTACAGAAAGACAGATTTGGGTTACGCTTAGAAGATTCCAGAAGAACTGAGGGGAAGTTTAAATTTCCAGTTATCACAGCATTCTTTACAACAGCCCACTAGACTGAACTCCTTCAGGGCAAGCTCCTTGCCTTAAAGGTCTGAATGTCCCCAGACTATTAGCAAAATGCCTTGTGTATAATAGATACTTCATAAACAAGTTGCTGATTTTCCCTTTCAAATTGAGTACAATTTTAATGAATTAAATATAATTTGATTAATTTGAACAGGCAATAATTAAGAGCATAGACTTATGACTATACTGCCCGAGTCTGAATCCCATCTTTATCACTTACTAGCTGTGTGAGCTTGGCCAACTTACCTAACTTCTTTATCCCTCCTCCCTCCATTTCTCCCCTGTAATATGGGGAATAATAAACCCCCCATGGAAGGATTTAATGAGTTAATACAAGAGCTTAGGGCCATATCTAGGACATAGTAAGAGCTCAATAAATATTAGCTATTGGGATTTAACCTGCTCAGAAGAAGGCCTATATAATTTGCTTCGAGAAGCCTTGGAAGGGAAGTATCCAAGGCCATTCTGATATATGTGAAATCCATATCAAAGGATCTAAGTTAAATTTTTAAAGAAATATCCTTTAGCACTAGAAACAAGTTCACTGATACAACCTGTGAGCCTGGATACCCAAGTTCTCCATGGTAACCGAGTTCACCGGATTCTCCACGAACACCCTGTCAGAAGGAACAAGGTTTAGTGAGTTCACCAGGCATCTTCAGTGTTCCTAGCAAAGACAGCCTTCCCTGCAAGATGTCACCAGAAGGCCACAAGAGAAAGACAAGAGATTTCACTGTCTGCGCTCAGTCCTTCTAGGATGTAGAGTTGGGGAGGAGTGGAAGAGTTGGGAAAATGGAAGACCAGGTTCTTATTCTTCCCCAGTCTTTGCACATCTCCTTCCAATGTCTCAGCTAGTGATGGAAGCAAAAATACTTTGTTTAAATTACTCAGATTCCCATTTTACATAACAGCTGGTCACTAAAAGCCCATCCATTCCTTGTGGGCTAAATGCTGACCAGTGTTAAGGACCCTTATGCCATCTGAGGAAACGCAGCATGTTGAACACAGCAACAGGTGTGATATTCTGGAACAAATGCCCATAAAGCACACCGTGAATGAGCAGAAAACTGGATTTAAAACCCTATAGGTTTTTAGAGCATTAACCTAGTTATCCAGGCAAAGGGTGAGCTGTTAAAATGATTCATCTGATAACTGATTTAATTTCTCCCTCAAATTAGTATTTTCAGTTCTACAGAGAAGATACATTTTCCAAGATTGAGGATAATGCCCATTTTGTGAATTCTTCTGCCTTCTTTCTCATGTTGACTAGGCTACTGATTGATTATTCATAGATCTGCAGAGAGAGGGAAAATCTTAAACTCAGAATTAATCGATATGTGGATCAATTTACATGTGCTTAAGTTTTTAAAACTATTCAGATAAATGGGAAGCACTTCTATTAATCATTACTATTATAATACTCTCCTCTTCAAGAGTTGGTTTACAGATATAAAAATATGAACCAAGTTTCAAAAGGCATGCAACTAGAAATTTTGAAAAAGGTTGTGAAATGTTACCTAATTTGCATATTACATCAGTGACATTCATAATGCAACACTTCTAAAACAACATGGCTCTATATGGCAAAGCTCAGGCTCTTATAATTCCATGTCTAAACATTTATATTAGGAAATCATTTCAGGAAAGCAAAGGCAAGAACAAAACAAAAAAACCTAAAATGCAGGTTTTCTTTACATCACTACATGATATGGAACAAAACAGAAATTACCTAAAGGCTTAGTATATCGTTCTCTAACAGAGTGAGATATAATGTATTAAAATGATAATAGAGCCCGGCCGGGCGTGGCTCAGCGGTTGAGCATCGACCTAGGATCCAGGCTATCAGGTTTGATTCCTGGTCAGGGCACATGCCCAGGTTGTGGGCTTGATCAATGATTCTCTCATCATTAATGTTTCTATCTCTCTCTTCCTCTCCTTTTCTCTCTCTGAAATCAATAAAGATATATTAAAAAAGAAAAAAAAGAAAGAAAAAGAAAATGATCATAGAAAGATTTGGAGACATAGAAAAGCAGAATATAAAATAGTATATATATTATGATAACCCCCTTATTATTTATGCAAGTAAAGGAAACACAAACATAAAAATAATTGCAGGAGGGTGGTAGGTTTTTGAACATTTAAAAATCAATGACATTCTTAAATTTATCATAATTAACAAATTAAACTTTTCCCTTATTGCCAAAATACAATCTTTCCCATAAATAAAATCTCATTTAGAATTCCATTTTACTAGGCATCTTACAAAAACCAGAATGTCTAATTTTATAGACAGTAATGAGCCATCTTTTCTCAACGTCCAAGGAATGTTGTAATTTAGAGTTCAGCACCTCTGTAAGCTATATTCTTCGAATAGCTTTGGCTGATCTTAAGCAAGTTACAGTCTCAAAAACATAAATGAGTCTGTTTGACCAATGCTCCAACACTGGGTTATCTAGCAAACTACTGACATGTTGAATAAACTCAGTTCATCCTGAAGTCTACAAATCTCTTTTTTTTTTTTTTAAAGAAAATCAAAGCTTCAATGGGAAAGAGCAAACAACTATAGGGATTCCTCAAGATAACAATGTACTAAAGGGAGAAGCTTCCTATTAGAGACAGCAGTCTGCACACATTTTCCTCTGCTTCCAAAAGAAGAGGTTGCTGTTCCAAAATTGGTCCCAATAGGAAAACAGTACAGAGGCCCAGCTGAAAATCAGCCCTGATTAGAGCAATAGGGCAGAGGGCCCAGGAAGGAGCAAACCTCACATATTGGAATGTATTAGGAGGTTATTAGTTCTGTGAAAGAGCTTTATGATTAACTAGTAATATGTTCATAGGACACAAAGCAAATGGGAGAAAGGGTGACTCAGGAAAACACAAGTTATATAGCTGTAAATAATATTTACCTTTATGTCATCAGGTGAACAATGAACTGAATTGATCAAAAGTAGAGAAAATAATTTTATTGCAAGGATGAGCTGAGGGAAAGTGTATGGAGAGGGAGATGGGCAGGTTAAGAAAAACCTTTACCCTCCACAGTAGGAAATCAAGCAAAACAAAACAGAAACAGACCCACAGAGACAGAGAACAAACTGACGGCTGCCAGAGGGGGTGTAGGGAAATGGGTGGAAAAGGTGATGTAAAATTATTTTTAAAAAGAAAGAAAGGAAAGAAAACCTAATACTTAACTACCAGAGAAACTGAAATAGTTCTTTCTACTCCACTCCTTAAAACTCAAGTAAATTGCCTTTTAGAACCAATCTTGTATCAAGCAAGGTTGACCAAATAAAAGTGCAGGAAAAACCCTTCAGAAGGCTCTGTCAACAACAAATTACAGGTTCACAATACATTATAATTGAAAGAGCATCCTGAATAAGAATCTGGGTTAGAAACGGACTCACAGCCGTACACTGAAAACCCAATGCATTTATTTTAGAGTAAATTTATCGTAACAGTCAATTTATTTGAGTTCAAACACAGAGAATTAGAGAAAGGGGGTTAGAAAAACAAAATTTTATTTACTCTTGAATATAAACAACTTCAAGGGCTTACAGAATCCTTGGTCAGGGTCTAGCTATGAAAATAAAATAGAATATTCCACAAGTGAACACATAGTAAGAGCCTGGAGGGGAACATATTCTGATTCAGGAACACACCGTGTAAATCAGGATCTAAATTCCAGTCAACAGAGGACAAAACAAAATTAGAAAGAAAGAAATCAATAGGGAAACATCCAAAACTGAAAACCAAGAAATAGCAAAGTGAACATGTCATTTAGGAAAAAAAGGCAGCCCAGACAGTGTGTCTCAGTGGTTGAGGGCCAACCTATGATCCAGGAGGTCACAGTTCAATTCCCGGTCAGGGCACGTACCCAGGTTGAGGGCTGGATCCCCAGTAGGCGGCGTGCAGGAGGCGGCCGATCAATGGCTGTCTCTCATCATTGATGTTCCTATCTCTCTCCCCCTCTCTCCCTTCCTCTCTCAGAAATCAATTAAAAAAAAAAAAAAAAAGAATTTAAAACAGAAAAGGCAATAATATTGGAAGGGAAAATCCAAAGACTTGAAAGTGAGTGTTCCTGAAGATCTGGGAGTCAGGAACAAAGGGGAAGAACGGACAGGGAAATCGTTTTCATTATAAGCCTGAGAGTGCAAGTTGACTTTAAATTTATGCACAGGCATGGCTCTGATTTAAATTAAATTAAAAAAAAAAAAAAAAAGACAGGAGGTGGAGTAACACAGGAAATCAAAAATAACCAAGACCCAACTGAGCAGAGGACACACTGCTAAAGGATGTTTAGGTAAACTGCACATAGCATCATAAGAGAATTAAATAATTCAAGAGTAGGAAATTCATTACACTGCCAAGAGCCACTAAATTTTCTCCAAAACTTAGCATGGTTGATTGTAGTCTATTTCTTTTTGCTTTTGGGGGATAAAAACAATGGGATAAAATGATATTTCAAGACATTATTTATTTCACAAGTGTTAAAATTTAATCAATAGCACAAAGATTATCTAAGAACTTAATTCGAATCCTAACGTCGTTTAAAAGAAATAATATTTTAGTTGGTGTCAACAAACCTTGTTTGGATATCTGAGAGCTGGAATTTCTCAATATCCATGCTTTTTTCAACATTTTTGGTTTGAAGACATATGAATCTCATTTTCCATTTGTACCTAGGTCGTTACCCAACACACACACACCCAGATTCACCCATTCCCAGGCGCAGAGATGACATAAGTCAGTCTCTGACTTCTTCATCCTTAAATCATGAGAATACTAGAAAAAATAATACCAGCATAATCTGACCAGACTAGGCTATAGATAAGTCTTCACAATGAACTTAACTCTTATTTCCAAGAGCATTCTGATCTTTGGATTTGAATCCTGTCACCACCAATTATTAGCTGTGTGGCCTCTGACAAGTAACTTCACTTTGCTAAACCTGTATTTCCTCTTTTATCCATATAAAGTAACCAGTGATGCTTATAACTCCTAGGGCTGTAGAAAGGTTTACATGAGATGATATAAATAAAGGTCTAACATGGCGACTGGAGGCAGATAAATGTTTAGCAAAATACAATTTCCACAGATATCCCCCCATCCCACCCTCAAATCACATCATTCCCCCTTTGGAAAAAGTAAAACTCAGTATTTTCCCCTTCAGTTAGTGACTGTGAGATTCCCTTATGCACCCATAGGAAGTCTCTTTAAATGGAAAAATCATTATTTCAGAGGTAAAAGGTATTACCTAAAGTATTAGCTTCTTTTCAATCTAAATGAAATATTCTAGCAGGCTGAAGAGGGAGCAGAGAGGAACCACATAAACTTTCCCTTCTTCATGGAGAGGGTGCGGTCCCCATGGAAGTTTCCCAGTGATCCTTGTGCAACCCCAGCCAGCCCAACCAGCACTCCCCTTGACCTCAGACAGAACTACTTAACGTGCCACAGATGTGGAACAAGAAGCACTGACCTTCAATCCTGGCAGACCTTGTCTTCCCCTTGACCCCTAAGAATAGAAAGGAAACAAAGATCTTAGAGAAGAAAACAGCCAACTTTCACCCCAGCCAATCTCACTCTTCCACAAAAGCAGGTGAAATACATTAGCAGTTATACCTACCTGAGGGCCAACATTTCCGGTTTCCCCCCGAGGGCCTTCGTAACCAGAACTTCCCTGAAAAGTAAAAGGTAAAGGGACGATCAGCTTAGCTGTCTATATACTTTTGCACAGTATTGGACACAGGCTGTCCAATACAGAAGCCAGTAGCCATGGGTGGCTATTAAGTTTAAATTAAATTAATTTAAATTCAAACTTTAGTTCCTCAGTTACACTAGGCACATTTCAAGTTTTCAATAACTCCATGTGGCTAGTGGCTACCGCATAGGACAGCACAGATATAGAATATTTCCATGATCCCAGAAAGTTCTATTGGTCAACACTCCTTTAGAGTGCTGATTTAATTTGGGTGCTTAAAAATATTCATGTTGTAAGCATCTTTCCCCAAAGGCTGTTCATTTGACAACACCTCAGGGTTCACCATGTTGGGACAGTAATCATACATATTCTCCAACAAGCCATGCTTAATATTTGAGAAATACCAGCATTTCCCTTCCTAGCTGCATTCTACAGGGTACAAAGTGGCAGACAGAAACAGAAGGTAGAAGAGTTGTCTCTGCACAGGTGGAGTGATCAATACATACAGATGATGACCGAGGGAGAGGTCACACACAGTCACAATGGACAAACCGTCCAGAGCTCTCAACTTCTTTAAGGTCAGAAGTGGGGAAATGTGTGGTGTCCAGAGAAAGAATGAGTTTATCTTTCAAGAGAAATGGAAATGACCTGATCCCAAATAGGGATATATTAAGACTTATTCAGCGAAGTTGCATGCTACCTCAGTAAGAAGGAGTAAATTAGGAGAGAATGTGGAATGCAGAAACAAAAACATTTTGTGCAAAGTGTCCTTCCAACTGTCATTTATAATAGATTAAATTCTGAAATAATATATATATTCCACAATATGAAGGAACTGATAATTCAATTATGGTAGAAACGCTTATTGAAATAGTATGCAACAATTAAAAATTATCTTTATCAAAAATTTATAAAGTAGAAAAATAGTGCTATAATGTTGTTCTTTTCAAGTATGTTAAATTCTGTGGCAGAATAATTTATCCCAAATATTGAGGAAGACAAAATGATGATTCCTCGTCTTCTTTTCTTTTTTAAAAATATATCTTTATTGATTTCAGAGAGAGGGAGAGGGAGAGAGACAGAGACATCAATGATGAGTCATTGATCGGCTGCCTCCTGCATGCCCCCCACTGGGGATTGAGCCCACAAACCCGGGCATATGCCCTGACTGGGAACCGAACCCCCATCTCCTGGATCCTCGGTCGATGCTCAACTACTGAGCCACACCAGCCTGCTGATTCCTCATTTTTTTATATTACACTAGAACATTTTTTAATAAGCCCTTGAGATCCTCATATAGCTTTCTCAGGGAGAGTATCTGCCATTAAAAAGTTAGGAAAGCTCTGTAAAGTGATGGTTTTCTTGGTTACTGGAACTGTTGATTTTTTTTTTTTTTTTTTACATTTTATATTTCTGTATTCCAAAATTCCTGTTGTCAGTATTACTTTTATAATGGGAATTTTTTTTAAAAAAGTAGTTCATATCAGGGAGAATGCTTTAGATATAGCACTCTCACAATTGATCTAGATATAATAAAGATTCTTTCTTAAAATGTTTACCATTTTCTCATTTCAATAGTCAACAGGTTTTGTTTTTTGTGTTTTTTTGTGGGTTTTTCAGCCAACTTAATAAAGGAATTATTTGGGCCGATGCAGGAACCACCGGGTAAAAGAATGTTGGAAAACAAAAAATTTACACTCAGACTATTATTGCCCAGATTACTTCATCATTAGAAAGAGAGGGAAAGTATGTTCACAATAGATTAATCTGGTGAACATCATCATAATCAAGTGACCAAATTAATCTATTGATAATGAGACAGACTGATGTAGTTGTCCCTCCTGGTGACTGAGAAGGGTACAACAGGTCTCAATCTCCTGCCAAAAATGTTTAACCTGAATCTAGTCAGGAGGAAACAATCAAACAAATCCTAATTGAGAGGTGTTTAGCAGGTTAACTAGTCTGGAATGTCAATGTTATATAAACAAACAAACAACTGGACAAAGGTTGTGACTAAAGGACATTCTCAGGCTGCCAAGCCCAAGGACCACCTGAGGGTGGCACTGTGGAAAGAAAGGGCCTGAGTCCCTGGTGACACTAGGTTATGATGGCATCGATGAGCTACTGTACCAAACCTGGAATCACCTATCCCTGGATTATCAAACATGTTTATTAGCTAAATGCTGCCAGTCAGGTTTTCTGTCACTTGTATATTAAAAAACATAAATAAAAATCAGCATTCTTAACTGATGTATGTTGCCTGATTGCTTTCCAAAAAGGTTGTATTGGTTTTCATTTTCCCCAGAAGTGCTAAAGCATGACTGGTTTTTTAATTCCTTCCCCAATACCAGGTTTCTCAATTTGGTTTGAAAGACTGCATCATCAGGGCACTTTCTCCATACAAATTGCTACATCTAATCTGCTGTTCGTTTGGACTCAAAACTAATACTAATGAAAGAGTGCCCCCTAGAGGGCTATCTTCTCAGTTCTTAGAGCACTGTCTTTAACCTCATTATGGGAATAGAAGCCATGGCAAACACAAATGCAAAACGACATGGCACTGCCTCAGAGGATTACAATTTTTGTTTGCATGCACAATTCAGGGATCTGAACTTCAAGGTTAACCCTTAGCTAAAGTCAGTGATGGAGACCTCGGAAAGCTGTGAGCATGAGGCTCTTCCCATGGCTGTGCAGACTGAGTTCCTTCCCAGCTGTAAAACCATGAGCATATGCGGACATGAGCTTTCTTCCCATGATAACCACTAACTGATGGAAACTTTGAAATGGCTTCTCTAATCTTCCCACCCTGCAGATAATGAAACTGAGGCCCACATGATTTGAGGGTTACTGCTCTGCTGTTCTCTTACCTCAATTCCATAGCTGAATGGGTTATTATTATTTAGTGGATATTCACAGGGCTTTCTAACCTCAACTCACCAAAGAGAACCCTCTCAGTGGAGTTTGTCCAAAATAACTGTAATTAACAACAGAACGAGAAAATCTTGCAGCAAGTCTAACAGTTTTCTCCCATAGCCACATAATAATAATCTCGTTACCAGCTGTATTTTATTCAGGACCTAGACACATATAAAAAGGATGTGAACTAGCCACAATCCAGGGAAGAGAACTGATGTACTAAGGTTCTGTCAAAGGATACAGATTTGAGTTCAAAGCAAGCAGAGGTTGCTCTACAGCTGTAAACATATTGGCATGCAGACCTCATTCCTGGAAACTGGGAATGATGAGATGTTAGGACAGACACACTTGGGTTATTTTAGTCATTTTTCAGAGTCATGCATTTTAATGTCTAGAATATAAAAATCTAAAAATGGCTTCCAACAAGTTAGCGTCTGTCGAGTTAACAAGTCTTTTCCTCCTGTGATGTCTTCTGTCACGATGCTGCTAGTCTTTGGAACTAAACAAGGATCCTATCTTTAAAAACGGCTAGTCCCCGATACACATCCATCAAAATTGGCAGTGATGGAAAACAAACCAGCAGTACAATGACCCTGAGCATCATTAAAATCAATACATCATTATAAAATTGGAGGATTTTAAAGCTGGAAAGATCTTGGGGATCACTGAGTCTTATTCTTTCATTTTGGACATGAAGAAACGAAGGACAAAGGAGGTAAAGTAACATGTATTACTAGTGTTGTGGAAGATAATATTTCTATACACACACACACACACACCTACCTATAAGACATGGATGCAAGGACAAATATATTAGTGGGGGTTAATATTCAGAGCTTCTGTCTCCATGACAATGGCATCCCACAGGTTTGCTGTCTTGTTTTTTATGCTGATCCAACCAGAATGCAAAGTCTTCTGCACCACCTAGTATCCTTTACCATGTGTACCAGTATCCCCAATCAGAGACCATCCTACCTGATGTCCATGACTTCCTTTTTCTCCCTTAGGGCCTTGGATGTAACTATCAATTCCAGGATCCCCCTAAGAAAATAAAAGGTTGCTTACTTCAAATGGATAGTAAAGACAGAAAAAAAAAAATTATAGGAAGCAGGATCTTTTTTTAAAAGAAGGCACCAAAGTAGACCCTTTTAATTGTCTAGCCCTACCCAATAATCCCAAATATGCAATGCAATTAAAATACCAAACTCTTTAAGAATGCAAAAGTTCTATAAGATGTGTTTTTTCTCAAATCTCTTATTTTTTTACAATGCCAAGATAGGTTGAATGATGACTCATTAATGAATAATTAATTGCTCTCTACCTTTGTGCTCAAGCAAATAGTTTGCAAGTCCCTGGATTAAAGCCACAGAAACCCATTAACCACCACTCACAGGATCTCCTCTTAACCCAGGCTCTCCACGTTCTCCAGGTTGCCCAGGGGGTCCTGTCAAGCCCTTAAATCACAAAGAAAGAAAAAACTGTCACTTTTTAAAATCATCTATTACCTAAAGGAAAGAAAATGGGAAAATAAGAATCAAATTAAAAGAGCAATTTTGCATTTGAACTTTAAATCATTTACTGCCAAAGAGGTGAGGTTGAGACACAGAAAAGAACATTTTTTATTGGAAATCTGTGATATGCTTGACCCTAAGTGTGCATTACCTCATTTAACCTTCACAATTCAGGAACTGAGGCTCAGAGAAGTGGAGCCCAGGTCTCTCTACTACCAAATCCCTTGATCTTTCCACTCTACCCTGATGCTCCCACACAGAAATGCATGTAAGAAAAACAAGAAGGCTTTCTCCATCATGAACATGGACAACATTAGCAGAACAAGATCTCATGAAAAACAGGGAAAAAGAGAGGAAAATGCTTCCAGAGCTCCTGACTGCTGTACACAGGGAACCAGAGAGGCAAAGCAACTTGCTGTAAGACTATGACATAAGCAAATGATTGCTTCTCTTAAAACCTGCCCTTAGTGGTACCATATCTGTGTAGTAGTTCCCACAGAGCCACAGAACCTTCCTCAGATAATGTTATGTGCCTGGTTCTGAAGGGTATACACCATACTCTGAAAGTAATGAAGTGAGACCCTTCTCTGAGATCTGGCTCTCAGACACAGAACGAATGGAATGTTCTCTAGGCTCCAAAAGATGCTATCTGGTAATGACTTGAGACCCCTCCTGACCTCTTTCCTGGTCTGATACAATGGTAAAAGGAAGTTAGTTAATTCTAAATTCTAATTCTGCTGCTTAATTTACTAGGTAGGCAAATTTCTTTGACTTCTCTAAGACAATTTTCTCATTTGTGAAACAGATATACCTATCTTATAGGGTTGTAACAGGGATTAAATGGAATGATAAAGTGCCTAGCACAGAGCCTGGCATATGGTTCCTATTATGATTTGTCCAACTTCTAGTCCGTCCTTTTTCTGACTCAGACACTGGATTCCAGAGTAATATTCCAAATCTGTAGCTTTGAACATGTATTCCTTGCCTAGAAACTTTCAGTAGCACCTGATTATACAGTAGAAAAAAACAAAACCCCTAAACATGTCATTAAATTGACTCCAGACTTTCCTCTCACTCTTTGTATTATTTATCTCACCTTCCACTCCCGTTGAATTGGCAACCTTGTTTGTCTGAGCCCACTGAGTTCTTCTAACTCTATGGGCCCAGCACGCTTCCGCTGCGCCACTCTGCTACCCGTGAGTTCTTCTAACTCTAAGCCTTACTGTGTTCTTCACCCGAAATACACTGTGTGTCTCTCTCACAAACGTCTGGGTAAAAAAAATGTCTTGATTTCCTGTGTGCCCTGGAATGCCAGAGGCCTCTCCACCCTTCAGCACCATTCTCAAATGCCACAGACCTTAGTATGGAGGGTTGGTCTCTTGCCCTCCTTCTTTCCTCCCTCCTCATCTGGTTGTTACTCATCCTTTAAATTTCATTCCATCTTTACTCTCTCGATGAAGCCTTCCTGACTACACAGGCTGGATCAGATCTCCCTGTCATGCACTTATCTCACCAGTAATCTTACATCCATTTCCATGATTATTTCATTAACAGCTGTCTCACCCCCAGAGAGTCCAGTTCTGAGATACAGAACCCATGCCTGCTGTTCCCCATTCTATAGTCATGCCAAAATTACAATAGATGCTCAATAAATCTTGATGATTGATCAGATGAAGAAACACCACTCTACTTTAGATTCCTCTCCAAGTCACTGTGCTCCCATTCATTCTTTAGTTGCACCATTCTTAAAGCCTTTATCTTATCCTATCTTATATTACAGTTCCTCCTATACAAACCTCATCTCCTGCCCCAGTTAATAAGCTCTTTGTTGGTCATAACCATGACTTATTTACTTTTGAATTCTAATTTGTGTCTAGCAAAATACTCTATACAGGCAAGCAACACTTGACAGGAGTTTATTGAAATTCACTAAACTCAATGGAAACTATAGGCCTTCCAGTCTTGAAGGAAGTGTGGTGTCCCCTGCCTTCTCCAAAATCTCATTGACAAACTGCAGGTTGAAAATTAAACCTCAATAAAAAGCCATTTCTTATGAGTTCCTGTTTCACTTGTCAGAAAAATCAATCCATACCTTGCAGCAAAGCATTACTCTAATTCCACGTGGGATACAAAAAAAAAGTGAATAAATTTTATTCCCTTTATCTAATCCAATCAAACAACAGAGTTTGATTATAGTACTGTGCTGAGATGGATCCTTCAGGCTGTATTCTGTAATTAATTACTAATGTCTGCCATGGGCACAGGAAGGAAGAGTTTAGTATGTACACCTTCCCTTACATAGAAATATAAGATCAGCATGAGGCAGTGTACAGTCACCATTAAGATAGTACAAACAATGTACACTGGAAGGATATAGAGAAGGGAGAGCTCTACACATTAACATGGTCAATGAGAGGACCATGAGGAGGAAAGGCAGGAGCTGGAAACTGAAGAAAAACTGATCATCAAATAAGCCCTGAAGATGAAAGCAGGGAAAAGACATTCCAGGTGGGCATGCATAAGGAATCTTCAGGGGACAGTGAGTATAGCTTGACTGAGGAGGATTCCTCTCTTTATCATTTTTCGATTACGATTGGCATATGATATTATATTGGTTTCAGGCATACAACATAGTGATTAGACATTTACATCACTTACAAAGTGATCACCCTGACAAGTCTAGTATCCACCTGGCACTATAGTACAATGTTATTGCCTATATTCCCTATGTGGTACTTTACATCTCTGTGACTATTTTATAACTGTCAATTTGTACTTCTTAATCCTAGGAAGGACACTTCTTTACCAAGATTAGTGAGAAATGCTGTGGAAAGGCCTTGGGTATAAGACTAAATCATTGGCAACAGGGAGACATAAAAGCTAGTGATACGGGGAATGAGTTACGGTTCTAAAGCACAAAAAACTAAGTAACATTACCCATTTCATTATCAGCAGAGTCAGGCCTTAAGTTGTAGGTTCCAAACAGTCATCTAATATGTATTTCCCTTTAACCCCCAATCTAGTAATTAAGCCACTGGATGATTCTTTCCCAGAACTTAAAAATAAACTGTTAAGGTCATTTTAACCAATAGAAATATGAGACAAAAATATCCTCATACTTTACCAGATTTCCCTTAGCTCCTTTTTCTCCAGATGATCCTGGGATCCCACGATTACCCTAAAACATAAAATAAATATGCAAAGCATCTTTGTTATATTAGTCACACCAGAGTTTTTTTCACATACTTTCACATTCTAGCCAACAGTAGAAAGTTTCTTTACCATTCTATTTCTGAGTATGTGACAGACTAGCTGCCCTGAACAATCCTGACCCTTTGAAAAACAGTCTAAAATTCAAGATAACAAACTGCAAAATATTTCACATACATTAATGACCTGAGTTTTAAAAGACAGAGAGAGAGAGAAATCTTTTGAGTTCAGAATAAAGAGAAAGCAGGAATCAACAGAAGTGATAGCCACCAGCTGTCCTAAGGACTTCTGATCACTCAATGTGAGCGTGGTGTAAAAAACACAAGCTGATCATTTATTTTAAAGTGGTCCTAGGAGGGGGTGCCGCCAAGTAACGTGGCAGAAGCAAACAACCTTCAGCTCGGGCCTTAAGGACTTCTCACAGAAAATTTTCAATAAAAAATGAGTTTAAATCAAAAGTCACAACACACATGAGGGAGGCACCAGGATGGGGGAACCAGCAGAAGAATAGACAACAAAATCAGACTTGCATTGACTATAGATACGGAATTATCATATATAGAATATGAAATAGGTATATTTAATAAATTTAAATAAGAAAGGAATTTATTTTTGAAAAGCAACTTAAAAAAAAGCCAAGAAGATTTGAGAAAGAATAAAATAAAATACAACTTTTTGAAGTGAAAATTAGAATAATTGGAATTTAAAATGTTATTGACAGGTGAAAAGGCATATTAAGCAAAGTGACTTAAGGATTAGTGAATTAGAAACTGGAGAAATTATTCAGAATGCAGCACAGAAAGACAAAGAAATAGGAAATATGAAAGAGAGGTTGAGACATTGAGTGTAGCCCTGGCTTGGTGGCTCAGATGGTTGGAGTGTCAGTCCTTATACCAAAAGGTTTGGGGTTCGATTCCTGTCAGGGCACAAGCCTAGGTTGCAGGTTCGATCCCTAGTCTGGGTGCATACGGGGAGCGACTGATGTTTCTCTCTCATATCAATGTATCATTGCTCCCTCTCCCTCTCCTTTCCTCTTTCTCTAAAATCAATAAAAAACATCCTCAGGTGAGAATTAAAAAATAATACTTTATAAAGAGACATTGAGTATCGAATGAGAAGGTCTCCCAAATTGTTAATTAGACTTCCATAAAGAGACATGAGAGCCTGGCGTGGCTCAGCGGCTGGGCGTCGACCTAGGATCCAGGAGATTGCGGTTGGATTCCCGGTCAGGGCACATGNCAGACATGAGAGCCTGGCGTGGCTCAGCGGCTGAGCGTCGACCTAGGATCCAGGAGACTGCGGTTGGATTCCCGGTCAGGGCACATGCCCAGGTTGTGGGCTCGATCAATGACTCTCTCATCATTGATGTTTCTATCTCTCTCTCTCCCTCTCCCTTCCTCTCTCTAAAATCAACAAAGATATATTTAAAAAATTAAAATAAATAAAAATAAAGAGATAATAGAAAAAAATTAAAAGATAAAAATATCAACATGATAATTTGCTAAGGATTTTCTAAAACCTATAGAAGGTCCAAATGCTCCGAATCACAAGCCTACTAAGTCCCACGCAGGATAAATAAAAAGAAACCCACAGCTGGACATTTCTTATTGAAACTGCAGAGAACTAGAAACAAAGCGACCATTTCATGGATAACTTCTTCACAGCAATAATGAAAGACAGAGATAACAGAAGCCATAAAACTATGAAATTACATCTCAAAGTGGTAGGAAAAAAATGTTTCCCCAAGAACTATCTTTCTAGAAAAAAAGGGTAAAATAAAGAGATTTTCAGAAAAGCAAAAACCAAAGGAGCTTATGAACTTCATTAAAGGAAATTCTAAAAGTCCTACCATAGACAAAAGAAACAGGACCTTTTTATGTTCGTTGGAAGGCATCAGTAATAGTAATAAATATGAGGGTAAAGCTAGATAAGCATTGACTAAATAACACAATAATTATAGTGTCTAGTTGGTAGAATTTAACAAAAAATGGAAACAAAATCCTGGACAATGCTATGTATTACAGGCAGCGGCTGGTTAGAGCTAAGTTGCTAGGATCCTTCTATTTTGCAGATAAGGGCAAATACATAAATTAACTTTAGACATTGAGCATGCATGTTAAACATTTCTAGACTAACTGTGAAATGTATGAATAGAGAGTATAAATGCCAAACTAGTAGAGGGAGGAACAAAGGATGAGAAACTTGCTGTACCTGTTCTCCATCCAAGCCATCAACACCTTCCTCACCAGGGCTGCCCTGTGAACCAAGGGGCGAAGTTAGAGGCAAAAGGACCAGGTGTACACGGTTATTGCTTTGATGTTCGTTTCCATACTAATATTTTTTTTCAGTTAGAAGAATCTAGACCTTCCAAAACAATGTTTATATACTGCATTCAATTATTATAAAGCAATGATTTTTCCCCCCCACAAAAAGTCATTAGTGTTATATACTGTTTTTCCTGGCAGTTTCAGGGGTCAAAGAAAATGCTAGGGGGAAAAAGAAACTCAAATTTTGGATAGAAGGACTTCCTTTGAAACTTTTGCACTGGACACAAGTAACTTGTCCAGAAGACTGAATGAAACCTTGCCCACTGGTTGTCAGCATGTTAAAGATGGTCTTTTGGTCGTTGACTTTTTTTTTTTTATTTGAAAAGACTGGCAAATATGCCTGAATTAATCTTCATAATGGAAACTTGGATGATTAAGGAAGAATTAAATGGGAGTGTATCCATACGTGTGCATTTTGGGAGACTTGCTGTAAAAAAACGCCCTTAAGAAAAGATATGAAAACCTGAACTAGATAAGAATAAAAACTGGCAGGTGCAGTGACATCTGATCTAATATGCAATCACTTTCAAGTTATGGGCCCTTTGTATTGCCAGCTATCCCAAAATGACAGTTAACACATTTCTTTTAAAATATCTTTTGGGGAAAATATTCAGTTTTGCAAGCAGAATACAATGTCTTTTGCATGTGTGAAATAGCTGATTTACTCATACTGTCCCCATGAGGAAATCTGGTTTCAGGCTTTTTTTTTTTTTTAAACCAAAGTACAGCCAAGTTCGTGCATGAAAGTAAGCATACCAAACTCCCAGGCTAAAATTACATGACATACTGGCTACAGGCCATCGGAGTGAATCAGTGGTCCCGAGGCCGATGAATAAAGAAGCTTTATCGGCCCTTGTCTCTCTAGTTCATTACTTGGCAACCACTCCCTCAAAAGAGTGGGAACATAATAAATATTTTTTCAATAAATGAGAAAATGGATCTGAATCTGAGTGTAAAGTCATTCCCTTCCTTGGCCACCTCGTTTCTTACCAGCTCCTTTCCTAGTGTCCCTCTCCCATTTGATGCCCACCTTGACCAGTCCCTCCCAACCACACCTTGAATTCAGGACCAACTCTTTCAGACCATCATGAGATAAACACGGTGACTCAATTATTATAGAGTTAGCAAGGCTTGAAATGATAATATATAAATCCCTACCTTAAACCTGAAATATATGTCTTACAAATAGCCATTCCGTAGCATGGCAGCTTGGCTCTCAGTATACCATCTGACACATCCCCTCACCTAAAAGTTTTAAGCCCCACCTCAGTCAAGCCAAGGAAAAGCAACTGGACTCATTATTTTGTTTCCCAAAGAAACTGCTCTCCAGTTTAAGAAGAGTAAGGAAAGTAACCTACCTTCTCTCCTGAAAACCCTCGTGCTCCCTAAAGTTAGGAAGAAATAAAAAGAATTGAGCTTGAATTACATTTTTAAAACATCATTTCATTTAGGAAACCATATGTTCCCTGGTTTCAAGAAAATGCACTTATTAGTTCAAAACGAGGATTTCTTCTCCAGCAACTGTAATGGACGTCGCACACAGCACTCTGATTACTACCACTTCCCTGTGACTTGGAAGAAAATTGCACCTTGTAACTCTTCACATTGTAGGGTGAGCAGGAAATAGCAGTGACCTGCCACTTACGATTATAACNCGCCACTTACGATTATAACAATTATAACAATCGTTTTTCAAACAAAAATGACAATACACTGGCTAACAAGCATGAGAGAGCTTCTAGGAACAACAGGACAAATTAATTGCAAGAGTAACTTGTTAGAATACATAGAAAAANGCATGAGAGAGCTTCGAGGAACAACAGGACAAATTAATTGCAAGAGTAACTTGTTAGAATACATAGAAAAAAAATTAAAAAATAAAATACATAGAACATGGTCACTGGGGTCATAAAAAATCTCCATAGGACTCCAAGATTATAGAAATGTTTTTCTGGCTTTATTAAAGGAGATTCCCCTTGAGTGGGAAATTATTGAGGTGCACGTTCAACACTGGCTGCCAGAGTTCCTCAGCAGGATTAAGCTCTGTCTACCCTTGGTGGCAATCTCACTGAAAATTTGCCCTTTTTAGGCCACCTTCCCTCCCGGTCTAACTTCTCCACTCCCTACAAGTGTTTACTGAGATTGCCTCCCAATAAATTAGTTGCACTTGATTCTGTTTGTCGGGCTCATCTGCTGGGAAACCCTCCATCTCAGGAGGAACCAAGATACCATACCTATGTTGAAAGATTAAGGTTTTTTTCAAACTCAAGGGATGAAACAGAGATAGGGGGGAGAATTCCACAGCTCAAGGTCACACTCACCTTAGGCCCTCTCATACCTGGACATCCTTCCTCACCTTGGGGTCCAGGAAAACCTTGGGGGCCTCTTTCTCCCTGTGAAATAAAGATTCGCATGGAGACAGTCAAGCACCTGATGAATTTAACCCAACAATAATGATCATAAGAATGACTAAAATATGACACGGTCCTTACAATTACTTCTACATCCTCAGAGACCTGATTGGATCACCTGCTTGGCAATCAGACTGCTCATCCATCAACTACCCATATTGATGGCCCCAAATCATACAAGTCCAGATCATCTATATTTTTATCACTTTTGTCAAGCCACATGGGCAAAACTTCAGCATTCAAACAAAACTGAGATGTGTCTGAACATTTCCTTCAGGCAGCTACAACTAGATGGTCTCCTTGTAGTGCCACAAGAAATAAACCACTATTTAACTTTCTCCTCTAGGTGAAATCCTGCCCCTTCCTAACGTATAGATCGTTTGTGACCTCTTCTTCTGAGAAGCCTTTTCTGTTATATCATGTGTTGTTTTTGTGTTATACTCTTTTCTGCCATGTTGTGAGCTTCTTGATGACAAGGACAATGTCTCATTTATTTATCTCTGGGTTTTCAGCCCTAAGCACAGTCTCTGGCACACAGTAGACATCCAACCAGGATTTGAAAAATTACCTCCTGAATTATATTAATGAATATAACTTTTCTCCATTTATAAAATGTGGATCTGGATAATACTGATTCTAGTCATTAAAAGATTGTTGTATTGAACACATGAGATGCTGTATTGAAAGTACGTCATAAATCATATGCCTTGGACAAATTATGGGGTTTTATACTTAACAAACAGCAAGACATAATGAGAAAAGCACAAGTTCTAGCATCAGACAGACTTGGGTTTGGACATGTCTCCAACCCTCTCTATCTGACCTTAGTAAATCACTTTCTCTGAGTTTCTACTTCCACATCTATAAAATGAAACTATTAGCATGTGTTGGTTGGGTTGTAATGAAGATTAAATGTCATAATGTATACAAAATGCCTAATGTAGGGCCTGACATACAGTAGATGTCAAATAAATGTCTACTTCCCCTTCTTCCTAGTCTACATGCATTTTTAGGTTCAGTGCATGGTGTTTCAGTTTCATCTGGAAATTTTAACTCTAACACATTTACTGTATTATATTGCTCTATGCAGCATTATGAATCATGAATAATTGGTTGTTGTGTTTATTAGAAAAGAGTTGTGATATATAAAACAAATGCCCCTGATAAAGCAGAGACACCAAGGGAAAATGTTTACAGTTTTATTTTTAACAAAACATTAAAAATAAACCCACTCTTAGAATGGCCATCATAAAATAAAAAAAAGTATTGGCAAGAATGTGAAGAAAGTGGAACCATTATGCACTAGTGAGACTATAAAGGAGTGTAGCTGCTGTTGAAAACAGTAAGGTCGTTTCTCAAAAAAGTCGAAATGGAATTACCGCATGACCTAACAATTCATTTCCAGATGTGTACCCCAAAGAATTGGAAGCTAGGTGTCAAACAGGTATTTGCACCAACATAGTCACAGCAGCATTATTTGCAGTAGTCAAAAGGTAGAATAGCCAATTGTCCACTGACAGGTGAATGGATAAACCAAAGTGGCATAGTGGCATATACATACAATGGAGTTATTCAGCCTTAAAAAGGAGGGGATTCTGGCCCTGGCTGGTGGCTCAGTTGGTTGGAGCATTGTCCAGTACACCAAAAGGTAGCAGGTTCGATTCCTGGTCAGGGCACATACCTAGGTTACGGGTTCAATCCCTCATAGGGCACTTATGGTCTCACATCGATGTTTCTCTCTCTCTCCCCACCCCCTTCCTCTCTAAAATCAATAAACATATCCTCAGGTGAGGATTTTTTTAAGAAGATTTTAAAGAAAATTTTTAACAAAAAGGAAAGAGATTCTGACATGTGACAGCATGGATAAACCACTATCCCATAATAGGTAAAATTTGAAAATATATAGAATTTGTGAGATTGTATTTTCCAAAGAAGGCCACAACAAAATGTCCCTGAGCTTCCGCCCTGTGACCTGCCACACCCCATCGAGAGGAGTCTAATCCCCCCGCCGGACTCTTGATCTGCTCTGGATTTAGTGACTCAGTTGTACCCAATTGAGTGTGGCAGACAAGTTACCGCCTAACTTCTGAGTCTTGCTCAGAACCTGGCGGCTTTGGCCTTAGTCTCCTGGAAAGCTCACTCTTGGGACTAACCCTCCCTGTTGGATGTTCCCTCTGCGACCCAGCTGCCATATGCCATACACTTTCGCCTCAGACGACCAGCTTGCCAGCCAGGCCAGCCATCCTAACAGAGAGCCAGAGTGTGAGAGAGGAGGCCCTGCTGAGACTTCAGACATCCAGGCAAGAGGCCCCTGCTGGCCTCTTTTCAGTTTCCCCACCCACCGAGTCTGAGAACTTAATGATTGTTGTTTCATACCACTAAGGGTTTTCTGATTTGGGTTTTGGGGGGTAGGGCAGTTATTTGTCCTTATAAACTTTCAAATTAAGGGCCTACAAATTAAGGGTCCCATCAGTAAACCTGTCCATCTGCAAAGAGATGCCTTTGCTGTGGAGCAGCCCAATCTGACCTGCTTTGAGGGGAAATGACATTAAAAGCCCTTCAGGAGACAACATATTTTGAAGTCAAAGTCTCTTGTGAGAAACGTAGTAAAAAGCAACCGAGACCGACTAGAGCTGCACTGGTAGCCACTAGCCACACATGTCTAGTCCAAATTAAAATGAGTTGTAAGTGTAAAATACACACTGGATTTCAAGGACAGTATACTTACAAAGTAAGATATCTCATCAATTTTTATATTAGTTACATGTTGAAATAATTATATTATGGATATATTGGGTTAAATAAAATATATTATTAAAATCAACTTCACCTGTTTCTTTTTACATTCTTTAGAGTGCTACTATAAAATTTTAAATTATATAAAATTATACACAGTAGCCCCACCCCTCACTACCAGGAGATATGTTCCAAGACCCCCCGTGGATGCCCGAAACCACAGATAGCATTGAACCCCATGCATACTATCATTGCCTGTACATACATACCTATGGATAAAGTTTAATTTATAAATTAGGTACAATGAGAGATTAATAATAGCTAATAATAAAATAGAACAATGACAACAATATACTGTAATAAAAGTTAAGTGGACGTGGGTGGTCTCCCTAGAACCATCTTATTGTTCTATACTCACCCACCTTCTTCTTGTGCTGATGTGAGATGCTAAAGTGCCTACCTGGTGAGCTGCACTTGCACTCTGAGCTGTGACAGCAAAACCAGCACAGATTTCTTTCTTCTTCTTCACAATTTCACAGACAGAAGATTCATTCTCACCATAGATCTTTAGCAACTTCAGCATGTGATCTTTTCTTACTTAGTAAGTCAAGAACTTTCACCTTTTCACTTAAAGGAAGCACTTTATGGCTTGTCTCTGGCACACCTGACTTGCCAGCATCACGACTCTTGCACTTTGAGGCCATTATTAAGTAAAATAAGGGTGACCTGAACACAAGCACTGTGATAAGGTGGCAGTCAGTCTGATAACCGAGATGGTTGTTAGGTGACTAACGGGCGGGTGGGCACGACTACAACATGCAAACTCTGGACGATGGGATGATTCACCTCTCCCAAGGCACAGCACGAGATTTCATCATGCTGCTCAGAGCCAAGCAGAATTTAAAATGTATCAATTGTTTATTTCTGAAAGCTTCCAGTTAAGATTTTGGACAGAAGTTGACTACAGGGAACTGAAATCTAGAAAGGAACACGACAGATAAAAGGAGGCTACTGTATGTCACTCGCATTATATTTCTAGCTCTGTACTAGGGGGTCTTTATAAAATATCTTGGCTTTAAGGTAATAAGACAGAAGAGAAGGGGGGCAAAATCATCTCCCACTCTGGGCAGACAAAGCCTTGTTTATCCTGTTTGTCTGAAATTGGTGGCGATGATCCTAATGGGTTGGTCAGTGCTTGACAAACTCTCTTAACTTTGGTGAGGCTCATTGAACCACAGGCCAAGCAGAAAAATAAAATAACACTTAAGGGACATTTTAAAACTTCATAAAAATTAGAAGGGATATTTTCACTACTCTTAAACAAAATAGAAAATAATCCACAATTCACATTTCTGAATGCATTTCTAACGTCTAAGATTATGCATACTGGGACGAAATAGAAATTGAGCAAGTCTCCCAGAAGTGTAATCAAGGAAATGGATCGGCTTACATAGGTCTCAGCAGGTGCATTTCTCTCTACTTTCTGCTTATTTTCTGTTTGGGCGCCTAAACGTTCAGAATAATAAAACAATGTGCAATGGAGACTTTAATGCTTGTATATACCAACAGTTTGAAAAGTTTGGTACAAGGGCCTCTCAGATCCCCAAGACCCTTTGGGAGGGGGTGCTCACAAAGTCAAAGCTATTTTCCCAATTACACTAAAATGTTATTTTATTTTTTATTTTTATGCTCTCCCAAGTATATAATAGAGTTTTTAAGGGGCCACACAGCAGTGGTATCACAACAGACTGAATACAGAAGCAGAGATATGAATCTAGCTCAATAAGCTAGGCCTTAAAGATATTTGAAAATATGTTTTAAAAATGCCACTTTCCTCACTAATATATTTTGTTTTGGAAAATATCATTACTTTCATACAAGCGTATGTCACTTATGTTAAGGGTTTTATTTTTGTTACTTTGAAATAAAATAGATCACTGAAAATTCAGTTTTAATTTCTAGTGTGGTAAATAAAAATAGATAGAAACCACATCAACAAAAACTCTTCAAGGTCCTCAGTAAAAAAAAAAAAAAAAAAAAAAAAAAAAAGTATATCCTGAGATCAAAAGGCTTGAGAACAACCTAAGAACTTATATGCATATATGCATAACCCAAGGACACAGACAATAGTGTAGTGATGGCCTGGAGGGGGTGGTGCAGAGTGGAGGGGATCAATGGGGGGGGAAGGGGACATTTGTAATACTTTCATCAATAAAGATAAATTAAAACAAAACAAACAAACAAAAAGCTTGAGAACCAGTGGTATATACAAATCAACTGTAAAATAGATGCCTGTGGTGAAGTGGTTTTCCATATTTAAAATTAACTGAAAACAATGGAGTTTTAAAATCCTTTTGATATTTATATGATATAATAAATATGATCTCTACTATATTTCAGTCCCCTAGCTAACAATTCTCCCTTTAATATACATTTTTTCTCCACAGGCAATCATATGATAGATAACTTTCCCTTGCCCAGGGATGTATCCAGGCATCTATACAAACTATCAGTGGGTAAGGGTAACCATAATTCCATCTCCTTTCAGCCACTCAGGAAGACATGTGAGGGATCAGGTTCTAAGAATGGCCTGATTCTCTTCCATTTATTTAGTTAAACCACTTACAAACATGACTAAGTCATTAACAGTAACAAATTACCTGCAATTTAGCTCAAGATTAACAACTACTATTACATGCATGCACATCAGACACAGGCCACATTTTCAGTCATCACGAATTCACTCAGTAAAAAAACAAAACACTTCCTCATTAAACACCTTCTAGAGACTATGTATCTATACACAATTTGCCCACCTGACATTTGTTAGAATAAGTGGTTATTTTTACATAGATTTAAACCCGTTTTATCTTTTTAAACCCATTTTTAAATGGCATAGATAAGAAAAATGTTCATGACTTAAGTGCAATTAAGTATTGCTAGTGTTCCATCAAAGAAAACAATTAAGATTTAGTACTTACATGTCTCCCTTCTTCACCGGGATGACCAGGTAATCCATCAGGCCCCTTCTCTCCCTGAAAAGAAAAGAAATCAAAATAAATAACTTGGACTCTAAATTCTTCATATCTGGAAGCTACATGAAAGAAAAATTGTTACTAATAGATCACTGTGTCTCACTGAGTTGGCATTTTATTGAGAATCTACTAAATATTGAGTGCAGTGCACAAAGACATATAGAAACAAGTATTCATGGTCTATCTTAAGGAAAACTTGAATACCTGTTTGTCTTAATAATTGATACATCAACCTATTTTTATTTTTCTAAAATAACTTCTTATGCCATTCTACTGTGAAAATCCAAGCAAAACTAGTTTCTAGTCAAATGTTTAAGGAAAACTGTTATTCTTAAAGAGGGCTTTGACCTTGTTCTACAAAACATCAGTAAGCAAAGGTGTTGGCAACCATATTACTTATTTCTGTATCACTCGGCTATTTAGTCTCTTTCTCTTTTTTGTTAACTTCTTTTTAGATACCTAAAAACACAAACCATTTCTTCTCGAGAGAGTTTGCCTTACCATTTTATAGCCAGATGTGTTTGTTTAGTCTAAAAACTGGTAATAAGACATGGGAGCCATAGTCTATTTGTGATCAACAAAGATATGAAAGTCAACATAACCAACCACTAAATTTTAACAAACAGAAGGAGCAGAGAAGTCAAAAAGTCAAAACACTCTCATCTTTGACCTCTGAGGCATAGTCCTTAAGTTGCATTTCAAAAAAAAAAACAAAAGTCAAGAGATTCCCAAGCTTGATTTTCTGATTTTCCAGTGTGATGTTTAAGAATAATATGAAGGCCTATCCAGTGTTGCACAATGGTTGAGCATCGACCCATGACCTAAGAACAATGTGAGGGGGGAAATAAGCTAGTGCTAAGGCATAATTGCAATTTATTTTTCAAAAAATAATTACACAGTTTATACTACTCTAAATTAAGATTGATCCCCAAAGTCAATAGATCTCATTCCAACAACTTCATGGAAAACCTTACAAAGAGAGCATGTAAAAACATGGGCAAAGCCAAGGGGGGTGATTCAAGCTTACATTGTGGGTTTGTGACTCTAACCTCATCATGAAGCTATATTTCCCATGAGAATGGAACCTTGCGTCCCTGGATGTCTGAGGACCATTTCTAATGAGATATTCACTCATAAAAGTGTGAAGCAGTAAATTCTCTCCCACTTAACTCAGAGTTAACAGAGAGATGCAAATTAACCCCTAGTAAACAAGTGATTGTATCTTTCCTCAGAGTGTGATGCTATAGACTGGGAGGTTAGGTAGGGGGGAAAGGAGCATTGACTACTGTAAAGAAAGCAGAAGATGGACAAATGAAAATTTTGGAGACAAGTAAAAACTTCTGTGCAGTGAGATAACTTATGGAAGTATCTAATAGAGTGGAAATAATGTGAGTCAGGAAGACAGGGGTTTAAATTCAAAAATACCTCTTCATAACTGTGTAACTTTGGGAAAGTGATGGTCCCTCTCTGAGCATCAATTTCAAACCCATTAAATAACATTCACCTCCAAAGTTTATTAGGAGGGTAGAATTAGAAGAAAACTGTGTTAAAGGTGTAACACAGAGCCTGGTATGTAGTCACCTACAATCATCTACTTGAAATGTCATCTCTCTCCCTCCCCCATCCACACTCAATAAATTCTCACCTTCCTCCCAGGGCTCCCACCATCACCTCTGTGTCCATCTTCTCCAAAACACTTTGTATACACATTGCAGCATGTTCTTTCTGCAACTGTGTCCTGAAAGACATAACCCATATCACATATTTTTTTTCATCTGTTAACCTACACCATATTACACACTAAAGAGACAAAATTCCCTCAGGATTTTTAAAACCCTGTGGATGGCATTTAAAAAAATACTTACAAGTTGCTTCAGTAAGATACTTGGGAGGGATGGCAGTGTGGTGCTCAGAGGTTGACTATATGCAAATCCTCTGCCAAATTCTAGCTCCTGAAGCTCTTCCAACTTATGTACACCTTCCAGGCCAATCATGAGGAGTCCAGAGAATCCTTTAAGAAACCAGCAGGTAGGCAATTTACTTGTATGTCTTTTGAATGGTCTGCCTTTGTCTTGGCCCCAGATATTCTTCCATCACCCCACCCTTTCTATTTTTGTTAAAATCAAAACTAGCCCATGGCATTCCTTCTTGAAGAGTTGGTCTAATACATTTCAATCCCACCAGCTGAAAGTTAAGCAGCTAGGTGGAACCACAACGGGCTTTCATAATTCCCTTAAAGTGCCTACCTTTTATTTCATACAGGGTTTTCACTTGTTATTGTGTTGGGTTACATCCTTTTAAACCCATTCCTGATGTAGATTTGTGCTTTACTCTTAGAAACTGTGGCATCATTGGGACAGTTCACAAATATTCTGGTTCCTCTCCTTAAGGGGACATGATACGATTTTACTTCTTTGGGAAAGTTATAAACTCTCATTTAAGCCTNAGGGACATGATATGATTTTACTTCTTTGGGAAAGTTATAAATTCTCATTTAAGCCTCAATTCCTTACCTGTAAAAATATTACCTATCTCATGAAAGTTAGAACTGTCCAAATGGCTTACTCTGACCAATTAAATATGCACAGTAGTGATATGTGTCACTCCCTGGGAGACATGTAAAGAGAAGGAAACAATTTGCCTCATTTCCTTTCTCCTGCCGCAGGAATAGACCCCTCCTTCAGCCTGAATCCTTGAGTGATGAGGATGCCACATGTATGAGTGGGTATGGAGCATAAAATGAATACATTCTTGCTACTTTAAGCCACTGAGATTTGGAGGTTGTTTGTTATTACAGCATAATTTAGCCTATTCTACTGAATCAGGCACTAACATTTCATCTGGATTTGTCCACATAACAGAGAACAAATGAACAAGGACACTGAAATTTGGCTAGAAATCACTGTTTCTAGAATTTCAGAACAAATATTAGTGTCAGTATTTTGAATAGTAAATTCACATGCACATCAGCTTTTGGCTCTTGCAAAGAAAAAAAAAAAAAAGCTGCTTAACAATCTTGTGGTTAAAAGTTGTCATAGATATTCTTAATTATTCCTGAAAATAAACTCCTGGAAATGGAACTGCTGATCTAGCACACTGGCAAAGTTTGCAGTCTTTTGTCATAGACTCCCAAATCTCTTCCAGAAAAGTTGCAACAATTTAAACTTCCAGTAGCGATCTATTTGGTAAATGTTGTTGGGAGCAAATTGTCATAAAGAATATATACTCCAGCATATCGTTAACCAAGGGAAAACATCACCCCCAGAACATGTTGAACATACTCGACTGAGGAGGGGGAAAGATGAAGGGAGCTTGAACAAGTCACATTGCTGGCTGTTCATCCAGAGTTGGCTCTAGAGCCTTTCTGTGGCACACACCGGGAATGTCCAGAGTAACCAGACACAGCTGAACAGAAGGTGCTGCCCAAGGACACCCAGCTGAGGGAGCTGATGGATGCTGAAATGCAGCCAACACACCACTCACCAAGCCAGGTGCCCAGGCACAGGATTGCACCCACCCAGAGCACTGGGCCTCTTTTTCTAATTTCACAAAGATGCCACATAGACTAGCAGCAGCCCTGGGAGATGGAGAAGGAGGAAGAGTTAGGGAGCAAACAAGGGAGGAAGGGCAGTGGAAAGAGCCAGGCCAAGATTTAGGCTGACTCCAGATGTCAGGGAAAAGAGACATATGGGCGCCTAGGTAGCCTCAAAGAGCAAGGAGCACCCACTCACCATGGAGTAGGAGTTGCACCTTCACCCCTCTCCCCACCCTCAACAGCAGATGCCAGGCCGGTAATTGGTTGATTCTGTCTCAGAGAAGCCCCTGGTCAGTGTCAGGGATGTGTAGCCACAGGCTGTCTCAGCCCTAAATAGCCCCCTGATTCATCCAAAGAGGGAAAGTGGGTATTAGCCTGGTGGGCACTGAGCTCCTATCACCTGTGTTAACAGCCTGTAGGCTTAATAGAGTCCAGAGATGCCTGGAAATCGGTAAGAGGATCTCAGCCCCTGTGAGAGGGGTGAGGCCCACACAGGGCAACTCTGTGCACTTACCTTTGCCTCGGAGAAGCTCAGATGCTCTCTTCAGTCTCTCTAAATCATCATCCAGTCCATCTGTAAATACTAAAAGGACCT